CAAAGAGGTCATCTTAAAAAAAAAAAAAAAAAAAAAAAAAAAAACTAAAAGAAGATAACTAAAAAATTTTAACCTATTTTGTTAAAGCATGTTCAATTTTGGTATGCTGAATTTTATTAAAGATCAAGTTAAAAGAAGCATATTAGTGTTTTTTAAATATGATGAAGCTTATTAAAAAGAAATATAGTTCTAAAAAAATAACACCAAATTTATATTTATATTTACATATATGTGAATATGTAAATGACTATAGGCCAATGTATTTATTTTGGTGCTTTAGTTATAAAAAAATGAACAGTTTATTAGGTAAGTTAAACACTGAAAAATTTATTAATTATCATAATAAAATGCCAATAGCTTATAAAACTTTTTTATATATTAATAGGTTTGTTTTATAATAGCAATAGAAAAATTAAAATTGAATTATTTATAATAATTCATTCATGTTTACTATTGGATAAACTTACAATACAAGCAGAAGAACATTTATATACATGTTTACAGTTTATTGAATAAAGAAAAATGATTAGCAGTTTTTCTATAAATAATAAAATTGACTGCTAGAAGTTTCTATTAATGTCTACAGACATTAAAAAAATCTTAGAAACTGGAAATAAACCTTTTTCTGATGCTCTTTTAGGACCTAAAAATATTAAAAAGATGCTTTCAAAAGAATTATTAGCTTTATTATTTAAATATTATAATAATGCTTATAACTATAGTTTTAAGTCATTAAGTAATAAAAATATTGGCAAATCAAACTCTATACCAGTTTTATCTAAAGTAATAGAATATGGAAAACTAAAAATTGGTGATAAAATTTTTGATTTAATATTTGCAGCAAGACACAAAAGATTAGCAAAAATAATAGCAAAATTTATATTAGATAATGGATCTACTGATGTATATTCAGTCATTGTTCAATTCTATTTTGAACATGTGGTACATCTATCTAATGCTCGAAAAAGCATATATTGGCATTTGTATATTAGTTCAAGCCTATTGATAATCATAAAATTAGATATTATTGTCAAGTAAATAGTATTTGTAATATTGAATTGTAAAATTGGAACTTTTATAATATAAGTAGAGATTGAATAATTTTTGTATACAATATCTTAGACTGATTCATTCTTGGTACTATTAAAGTTGGAAAGAAAATTCTGATAGAATATATGTCAGTAATACCAGTTAATAGAAAATTTCATATATAATAATAAATTTTATTTTATTTTTATTCTTAATAATATTTTGTTAAAATATTTAATAATTGTTTTTAAATACCGAACTATACTATAAATAATTTTAAAGCACAATAAAAATCTTATAGCTATATTAATAGTATTTTCAAAATAAAAATATGCAAACAATATCATTTTAATATTATAGTATTATAGAAAGCTATATAGCTATATCAGTATACCTGAATTATTCTAGTTGCTAACAAGTTGTATTTAAAGTATTAATATTTTTAGAATTATATCCATATTAATATTAGCTTTCAATATTCCTATGATTATACTTAAAATTTATATTTTTATCAAATAACTGATATTTTACTAATATTATATCAGTTATGCAACTGCCAATATATTATCATTATATCTTTAATAGTATTATAGAAATTTTAAAAGCTATATTGGTATTTCTGAAATTATATCTGTAGTTTTAGATTCCATTTAATATTAATATCAGTAATCTGATATTTTCACAATTAAACTTAAAATTTATATTTTCTATCAGTTTTTTAATATTTATCTAATATTATTCTGGTTAGCAACTGCTAATATGTCTTTATATGATTTGTGAACATATCTAAAACTAAAACAAGTCCCAAAATTTACTAGATATTCTTTAAAAAAGCTATAAAACTTTATGCTACTCTGCAAAAAATTAATCAAATTATTATATATTTAAAAAGAAATAACTAAAATATAGTTTTAATAATTACTTAAGAAATTAATAACAATATTAACAAGACTAATAATTATACAAAAATACAATTAATGAAGTTTAACTATATACAAAACAATAATACATCATTAGAAAACATTATTAAACTACTAAAGCATCAACAAAAAATAATTTACTAGATCTAAAAAATAGAAAACAATATGGCTTATAAGCAAAAAATTTTAAGTAATATAATAAAAAAACATAACTTTTTAACTAATATTACAAAGATGATCAACAGTATATTGCAAAAGTATACAGATTTATTTATACTTAATAATATTACATATACAAATGAAATTATAACAGAACTACAGACAATTAAAAAAGGAATTAAAAAATATTTTGAAGCAATTCTATAAACAATAGCTACTGAGCAGATTGACAAGAACAATATCAACTACATAAAAGAATAGACAAGCCTTAATACAATACAATATTAAATTTTATAACAATGTAAGAACTACAAACTAATCTACAGAAATCACCAAATAGCAAGACAACAAAACTACAGCAAATATCAAACAAAATGCTAAAACATTTAAATACATATATTTGTAACTTATTACTAAAAATTTTTAATGCATATCTTATACTTAAAACAATTTCTAAGATATAAAAACAAAGCAATATATACCTAATATCAAAAAAGCCAAAACTCTTAAAAAAGCTTAATTGCCAATTTGGATAAGATTAACATAAAATTATGCATAAGTATATATAGAATCTAGGAATAAGTATATTAGTAATTTTGTAATATATCACAAATTTGCAAAGTTTGGTTTAAGATCAAAAAAAAAAATAATAAAACTTTCTGTTATGTTAATAGAAAATGGGTTATTAGATAATAATCTTAATTATGGTGCTACGTACGATATTAGTGGCAACTTTTTAGTATTAATAAAAAAAAGGAAGTATATTTTTCTATTCGAATTAGTCAAAAGACTAAATTAATTTTAAGAGAATGTGAATTTTTTATAACAGTTATTATTAACTACTCTGAAAGTTCTTTTTTGTCTAGTTATTATTGTGAAAGTAGAACCTCTTCTAGCATAAAAGCAGATCTAACATTAGCAATTTCAATGATATATAAAAAGATTTTCAATAATCAAATGCACTATTTTGGATTTTTAGTATTTGGATAAACAAATAAATTAATAATCAAACAGCTCTTATTAAACATATTATTTATTTCTATGTTTTTTTTCACTTGGTGAATATAAAATTTTTATTTTTGAAATTGAATTGTCTTTAAACTCTGAATAAAATTATGCTGTACTAGATTATAAGTCATCTCTTTTGCAAATTACAAGTAGAAAACACATGTTATATGTTTCAAAAATAGAGGATAATTTATGTACTCTTAAAATTTATAAGAATTTTAAAATCAAAAACCAGCTTGAAGGTTCATTTCCAAATAAAATGTGGCAAAAGTTAAATATTCAGAAGTATATTAGAATTTAACTTTTTGGGTTTGAAAATCCTGAAATGCAATCATTAATTTGCCAATATCATGTTCCTATCTGTTTGCCAAGCAATTGGTCTGATTATGCTCTTATGAAGTTTGTTTTTAACTATCACTTAAAACAAAGAACTCTTGCTAATATACAGTAGCACACTTTATTTCTTAATTGGCATGAAAGTTAAACCAATATTATTATGCTTTATTCAAGTATTAAAAGCCTTTATTCTCCAAATTACCAATTTAATGATCATGAAATAGATGCTTGA